TGGATGTGATGTCTAATTCTTTGCCTCCTAAAATGCTGTTGCTAATGAATATATGGAAAAACAAGTTAAATTCTTTCACCGCAATAACCTCCTGGCTCACCACAGGCGTAAGCTCTTTCAAGCAAGAAAGGAAGAAGCCTCAGATTCTTTTGGCAACTGCCATCACTACTTAAGATTGATATTTGAATGAAATCAAACTTACTTAAATAGAAAATAAGTATAAATTAAATAAAACCTCCACAAACCTATTGCTGTTACCTGGAAAAAAAAATATGCAGAATTAAGCAATTTGGGGAATTTTAATATTTGAAAATTATTTCCCATGTAGAAATTGAAGATGTAACCTTCTACTGCCAGAAACAGGCATCTTAAATCAAAATGCAGAATTCCTTTACTCTGAAAGCTTCAGAAATACATGCTAATCTAGTGTCAAAAGCTTTGCACGTCCTGTGAATAGCACAGCCGACACTTTTGTTCAATTGAGTATGTCCAATATTCTCTGTAAACCAGACTTCTCACTTTTGTCAGAGAACAGGTTAAATGATGGTTTGGTGGCTTTGACTGAAATTCATGTCATGGGAAGCCCTGAAGTTACCATAACAAGTCAATGCTTTTCCAGAAGATAAATAAGAACAAGACAGGTCCCACAGGTTGTGAGGCTGCCTGAGAGTTCTTCTTCCACATGTAAGGTAATTTTTGATCAATAATTCGCTCTCTCTTTAGGGAGTGGAATCATGTTTTTTCAACTCTTTGCTATAAACCCATTCTACCCCCAGTCTGGAAACAGGCTGATACATGTTATGCTGAGTTGTAATGAGGTCCCTAGTCATACAGTCCATCTTGCACTGTGCAGTTTCTAGCTTGGCATCTAAACTGCTTTAAGTTTTTGTTTCATTTTTTGTCCCGATACAGGGGTGGTGGTGGTGTTAGAGGCTGTTACTTTAATAGCAGCAGTGTCAGCAGGATAAAAATTTCACTCTGAAAATGATGCCTTTTAGCCACAGAAGCTACAAATGCTTACCTTCAGAGTCCAGAAAAGGTATGTTCAAACAGCCACAGATCAGTGAATAAAAGACAATGGATTTCACCTGTGTATTTACTGCAGAAGCAGAAACTGCAACAATTTCAGGAGTTAAACTTAGAAATATAACTTGTAATGCTGTTTAAATTTAAAATCCAGGATGTGCAGGAAGAACCACTGATACAGTTTAAAATGATGCAACCCACAGGAAGCTCGTGAAACAAAATTGGTGACTATTTGGCTCAAATCCACCTCCTGAACCTCACTTCACTGGGAGGGCAGGAATCAAGGGACAACTTCTACTAGAGGAAGGGTAGTTTGATGGCCCTGTTCCGGCATCAAACATCTGCTCAACTGTTTCTAGCCCAGTAGTCAAAGCTTTCCTGGTGTCATCAAGGAAGCAGTGAGGATGAGATAAATCTCTTTTAGCCAGATCTAAAGTGCTTTAAAGGGAAGGTCTAGATTAGGGGTCTAACACTCAAGGGCTAGTAATTTTTAAAGGTAAATTCAGAAGTCCAGGTTGAGAAAGTGTTCTTGAACTCTTAAGTCAGTAATGCACATACTTTAGTGAAAATGGCAGAGAATGGCCTCAATATGATTTGTGCCTAGTGAGATACGCAGATGAAAAGCTACTCAAGGCATAAACTTTGTGAACGAATGACTGAATGGTAGAACTACACTGCTGGGGGGGTTGATGATCTCTATGGTCCCTTTCAGCCACAATCACTGTATGATTAGCACAACTTGGTGGTTTCTTTCCTTTCTTGTGGTGTGACTTGTTGTCTGAGCCATCTCAGGTGATAAAGTTTATTTATGTCAGTTCGTACACAAGCTTCTGCGAGCCTGAGACGTAAAAATCATTATGTGATTCTTCACCAGTAAGCATCAACAATCCTCCCTTTTCTCCCCCAGTTTAAGAAAGATGGGAAGGAGGCAAGTGTCAAGATGTGGGGAAGGAAGAATCAAGTCTTTACTGTTCAGAACTTAGGAAAATGTTGTAAACCCGAGTTTTAATTCATTGCAAGAAAGTCTTGGCTCATGTATAAAAAGCATATGTATGGATTTGAATTTAGCAATTGCTAAACAGAGCAGGTTATTGCAAAGTTGATAAAATGCACTGCCAGACAAATGGATGATACATTTTTCAATGTGTAATGTTAGATACTTAACCTATCTTGGCTGCATGAGTAAATCGTCTGACATCAGTTAGATTACTCAGAAGCAAGTTGATACCCAAGCAGACTATAAAAACTTCCCTTTAGAAGGGAGCTGAATAGCTACTTTTAGACTTTCCATATAATGCGTGTTTCAAATTCTCCCCCTCAGCTGTCTAATGAGCACATTTCTATAAAACGAACAGCATATAAAGGTATTCTTAACAGGAAAAGAAAAACAACCTGACTGCTAAAGTAGTTACCCATTCTGTTGACCGGAAGCGTTTCCCCTGCAAACTGTTCCCAGTTTTGACATTAGAAAATGCTACATCTTAATGCCTCATTGCTAATTCAAAGGAGAAAGTAGCTTGATAAGAGTTAAAAATCATGTTTTAATTGAAATTTTAACATTCTAAATTGTTTTGCAATATCAATGGAAAATAGTGCATACAAAGTGCCAAAGAATGAATGTTTCATATTACAAAGTCACGCAAAACCCCGAACCTGAACATCTTTGAAGTATTACAGTACACAATTTGAGGTAACTGCCCACCTGGTGTGTTGCAATGGTACACAGAATTGTACTCAGGTGATTTAAGTTATCTTGTTGTGATATTAGCACAACATGGTAGCAATACAGTTCATTGTTAACCACAGTAGCAAACAGCAATAAATGAAATTGGATTTTTACTAGGAGAGTCACTAGTTCTATAGCTCCTTTACAACAACTGAACGGAAAGTCAGACAGACTTGACAGACCAACTCAGTGCAAACAAAACAATGGAAAAGTACATCAATCCAAACTTTGGGAAAAGGAGCTAAATGACTTACCTTAAAATCTGCTGAAGAAAAAATAATGCCCATACTCTTAGTGTGTTCATTACAGAAGAATCCCTCCGTTAACAAGACACAGGCACTATTTTGTTTCGCAGGTTCACGGAGAAAGGATGTGTTTGCGCTGTACTTTTTAACACCAAATGCTATTTCCAGAGCCATACTGTTCCTATGAAGGGGCTTCATTAACAAATGAGGAAGTGGTATCTCCAATTAGAAAGATGTGAGGAAAAACAGTGTTTGCCATATGGGGAAAAAGGAGAAAAATCAGTGAGGAAGTACATGCTTAAGCTTCCTGGATATCATAGCAAAAAAGGCAAAGCTTAAATTGGCTTTAAGTATATTATATTTATAATCCTAAACATATGTTCATACATCTCACAGGTATTCAACAATGACATTTTGAAGTTTTACTGTAATTGCAGAATTTCTCCTAGAAGCCAGAAAGGTGAATCATGTTAAAGTTTTTGGTGCAGTATGATGAGGTTAGTAAGTTTTGCTGATTCTTCACCAAATTACTGTAGCCTTTAGCAGTATGATATGCTTATAATTGCTGGATCATATCCTGAAGTTCATGGGAGCAGCAGCTTAAACAGATGGAATTGTGGAAGGCCTGTAGTGATTAAACAATGATTCAAGATTATTTCCTCATTTCTCTTTCTGGAACATTTACCTTCGTTGATGCCGCACTCAGTTCCAGGATTTAACAGTTATTACCAGAGAAGGTGGCTTTGATCCCTGGGTCAACTGTAAAGCCACACTGGAAAAATGCATCTTTGCAATGCGCAAGGACAGCTAATACTGGCTATGGTATAAGCAGTCCCATCTCTAACAGTCTCTCTTCTGACATTAACCCTTTTCTTTTCCTTTCCCCTTTCCAAATTGAGTTTTTTCTCATGTCTAACTGGGAACATGTCATAGCTTTAGTCTCTTTCATAAAATTGTATCTGTCTCTCCAACATCACCAAACATTGCAAGAAGTAAACTGCACTGAATTACAAAGGAAATAGTAAAAGAAAAGGTGACTAGGTTAAGCACCCAGTAACTTCCTTGTGAGCTTCACAGTGCCTGACAAAAAAAGTAAACTTGATACTTGACTTTTTCCACAATGTCATTAACTGATTTAAAAATTCTAAAGACTGGAACTTGCCAAGTCATCTCAGTTTTGCTGGTACACACGATAGATAATGATACCGATAGCTGCCATTTAAGGCACAGTTTTGTTTCTGGGATGAAGATTTAACCATTCTTGACACTGAGCAGGCCTTATGTTCTCTGAGCAGCCCTTTTGAATGTAATACTAAAACAGTACAGTCAACTGAGGGAAGACACAAGTGATAAACTTTAGATTTGAATTGAGGGAAGACACAAGTAACAAAGTGCAAGAGACTCAGCTAGGACATTTCAGCATGATAACTCCCTTCCAGTCTGAAGTTGTTCCTGAAGGCAGTATTAACCCAAGACATTTTACGCTCAAACAGGTAAATAAATATATATGACTATTCTACCTCAGCAAAAGACAAGTTAATCACTCTAATGTGATTCCCTGTGCTTTTCTACCTAACCATGCTTCACAACTACAAAAATGTTTTCTGTGAACTATGCAAGATGCTTAAAACATGTTTTGAAAACTGAACTAATGTTTTAGTTAACTAAGTTTTCACGCTCTAGCTACTACTCAAAAGCCAAGATCAACAAATAATGATTCCTTCAACAAAAATGTAGATATCTACTGCAGGCTTAACGCGGCATATTAAGAGCATGCCTGCAGCTGGAACTATTTCTTATTTATTCTAGATTACAATATTCCTAATGGATTTAAGAATGGATCTTCCACACACAGACAAATCCTATAAAAAAACCCTCATTTTCCAATTTAGTATAAAAATATAGCATGCATGCACACAAAACAAGAGCTCTCCAGGCAAACATGGCTGCCATAGGTAAAAATAAAAGATAATTTAAAAAAAAATTGAAAAATCTTGTACAGGTTAAGAAAAAGATGCTATGCATGTACTTAAGTCAGCTGTATAACACACTGCCATTCCTTTTATGCTATTCTAACAGGTAGATCCAGAAAGTACATTTGCTTTTATCTTGATACTTTACGTGCTTCTTAAATAGCCACTCAACAGACCTGTTAATATAATCCAGAAATGTCTACTCAAATAAGATTCTTTTAAGTACAAAAGCAAATTATTACAGAATTATGTTTATGACTCAACAAATTGAACTTTCCAAAGACAACACATTTGTTTCCTGAGATGGCTAAAAGTCATGTTTCAACTTCATGTTACACTATAATTAACAAAAACTACTATGCAGAAAAACAGAGGTAAACTTCAGCATACAAGCACATTTACAGAAATCACCTAATTTCACTAGTACTATTTGTGTTCATGTGTACACCTTAACAAAAGTCCTAAAATAATCTTTATACATTACAAAACAAGGATTTACAAAATTTCCATTTTATTTCCAAGCTATTCATTCTAAAAATGTTGAAACATAAAAAAATACCATTTCCTAAAGGAGTTTACAATAAAAGGCTAACAATCTGGCATGGAAGAGAGGTAAATATATGGAAACCTGTTTTAACAGTCACAAATCAGTCGCTGGTGATTAAAGAACACTTTGTTCTTCAAAGATGGTAGGCACTTCCACATAACCAGAAATGTAAGTTTTCCTACCACTCCTTTTCCCTCCCATACATAAAAATATCCAATGCAATAAAAAACAAAAGTAGGATAAAAGGGCAGACGTGGGATCAAATAAAACCATTAAGGTCTTGATTATTGTTCATCTTGGGTAAGTGTAAAGATTATGTCCCAAAGTTTTCCTGACAAGATGGAGTTATTTGGCCTTTAAAAGTGTTAGCTGAAATACCTCCCTTTTTTACCAGTATATGTTGTTTGCTCACTGCTGTATTGTTGGTTTATGTCTTTAACAGAAACTGGCTCTAGGCCAGCCCATGGGTCCTCAAGCATTGAAGGTCTGTAATAGTTTTCCACATCATTAGACACTCTTTTCTCTCTGCCATGCGCTGTACCAAATGGAGTAGATGTCCTGGGTGATCCCTTTGGAAGAAAACCATCAGGTAAAGAAACATTTAATAGACTAATTCAAACTAAAAGAAAAGTTTCCTTCTAATGTAGCAGAGCTTTGAAGCCGATTATTAACGATAATTACTACTGTTCATTTGCATCTTGCTCAGACAATAATAACTTTATTATGCTTTTAATTGAGTGATGTTTTACCAGGATAAGAAAAAAAAACCCCAAGTCTTTTCCAAAATACTTGTTTCTGTCACTCTGGCACACAACTACATAGAAGCTCCTCATGCTATTTTTCAGAAGCTGCTTATGTCAATGATATAACTCAAAAGCTGAATAACAAAACAGGGAGCTAGAGGCTGAGGAAGAGTTGATAATATCTACAAGAGCAGAAGTCAGATATCAAGTACTTATAGATTTAACAAAGTACTGTATAATGCAAATAGCTACAAATGACCCAAGAATGTACTGGGAAAACCACCCCATTATAACCAAACTAGTGTCAGTTGGCTATCTGAGAACAGATGACTTTATCTGATATACAATCTGGATGGTAATCAGTGACTAAACAGATGCTGCATTAAAGAAAAATGTTTTGCAGGGAGCTTCATCCATTGTTCTTTTCCACCTTCCTTTTTAGGGAAGATTCACCTCCTTGAAAAGTGAGGTTTTGTCTAAAGCTGTATTGGTTTAAGCTCATTTGTTTTAACCAATACTGAACAACACAGATACGCAACAGTCTTCAAACATGCCTGTTGAATTCTCTATGACTAGAGAACCCCTTGAGGCCGATTATCAGCCTTAGACTTTGTAAAGGAGGGTAAAAGCACTAATTAAGGGCCCTAAAGAATTCAAGTAAACAGATCCTATGAAAGAATTTCTGGGCAAAACTGAGAAATGGTGCAATATATGAAGGCCCTATGCTTCCACAGATTCCACTGAAACTGTTCGAAGAGATTTCTAAAAGTGTGCTGTGACAGGAGCCTGCTTTTGCGGGCCCAGGGAGTACTTCAACTCCTAAAGCTTGGCAATCATGGATACGCACCAAATGCAGAATCAGCCATGTCTTATTTATGAGGCACTTGCTTCTAATGATTCATGGTAACAGAATTAGGTTATATAGCTCAGATGATGATCTCATAACAGGAAAATTACTAGAAGGTAGAGAATTATTTTACTGTATCAAAACCATGAGGGTCAGGTGACAGAATCATTGCAGAATACATCTAAAAACTTTTCTAATAAGGGACATGGAATTTCCTAAAGCAAATCAACATGCACTAGCATAAGTAACATTTATGTTAGGCATCCATAACTAATAGTATAGCAGTAGTACACAGTGCATTCTATCTTCAAAATAGAAAAAAAAAAACAACAAAACAACTCTAAATCACCATGTGTAATGGACACCCTGTAACTCTGACACTGTTGAACAGTTTTAAGTGTGGAGTGTATTTAATGTTATGTCTAACCTGCAGAACTCAAAAGGAAGCTGAACTGACATAGTGATTTGCAGCATCCGGTGCCAGAACAAAATAATTCAATGGTAAGGCTCTTTTGGATGGATTTCTTTTATTGTAATAAATTTCACCATAATATAATGCAGGCCATCAGCAACACTGACATTTTAGCATGGTTGAAATCTAGGAAATCTATTAGTATGTAATACAAGATTGATACAAGATTGACAGCCTTCAATGATTTAAACATGTTAAATCTAAGCCTTAAAAAAAAAAATTGGAAGACTAGTCATTACATGCTTTTTTAGAAAAAAAATCAAAACGTGATTATTCATTTTATAGGCCGGTGGAAAGAGGAAAATACCCCTTTCTGTGCAAGTGAAACCATTCATGTGCAAGAGAAAGTGTTTGGTTGCAAAGATAACCTCAAAAAAACCTTTGTATTTTACTGGTGCCAACAGCTTTTTCTCACTGAACTTTCCTCAAACAATAAATCTATTCTCAATACTTCTTGCTCAGATAACAGATCTCTCTCTACAGCAGAAAACCTCCCATCTTTTCGTGCTATTAACATGTTACTGAATGGGTTGAAAATGGGCATAGTCATCAGCTTTCTTCACCTGATGTAATTTTAGCTGCTAGCAGATGCACAGAAAAACAAAAAAACACGACCGTACCATTTTAAAAAGATCTTTTATTTTACTTTCTGTTAGTTTTCAACCCATCACCACCACTTAGCCACTGCTACTAGCTAGTTCACTGTCTCCTGTTGGATGAAAAGAAACACTACTGACAAGTGAATTCTAAGAGGATATATGGAAGAAATACAAGAGACTTTCATCTCAAAGGTGGCAGAAGCATCATGAATATTGAAAGCACTGTAGTTCTCTTAACAGCATCTATAGAAGAGAGGGGAACTATCCACATACCTCAGAAGAGATATGATGCTTAGAAAATGGAGAAAATCCCTCTACCTGAACCTATTCATGGCCTCATGGACTGAGATCTTTAGTTGCCCACACTGAAGAAAATGAAGACCCACAGTTTATGAGACTTCCTCCCTCTCTGATTGCCTCTATTGCCCTCCCAGGCAAATCAAAGCATGTATATACACATAAAAGTACATACATACACATTACTTCAGTCCTAGGCAAAGTTATGTAGAGAAAGACATACAATGTCCTTCTAGGCTTTGAAAGCATCACCAGCAGGTCAACACTTCTGAACTACTCACAAGAAAAGGGAGAAATGAAAACATGACAATCCAAGACTGGATTCAAACTTGTACCTTCTTTATGACAGGTTTCTTACTTAACACCCAAACAGAACCTATGAGACAGTTCCTGCTCACTGGTTCTGACATGAAGCGGTTGTGAATAAAACCAGAGGTGTATTCTGCTCAGCTAATTTAAGACAGGCTTTGAAACGGAATAAGAACTACTTAATTGAATATCCAAAGAATTAGCTTCTGAAGGGAAAACAGACATTGGCGACATGCAGAAAACCTCACATCCTTTCCCTTTGAAACAGGTACAGAGGTATCCTGGGTACAGGAAGCCACCTGGGAGAGCTTTTGCTCTTGTGTTGAAAATGTATAAAGTTCATGATTCCTTCCCACCAACTATAAGATTCCTGTAAGACAGTCATCTGCATCATAAAAAAGTAACCAAGACTTTTCATTTTGATGAAAACGTGACTATGCAGTGCAGGCAAATTAAGATTTTACTAGTATCTATTAAAGATTTGACTTCATTATTACACTTTAATCCGTGTCAGTAAGAGCACCTAAAAATTTCATCATTGTACTGCATGCGTCTTTTGTTACACTTTTAAGACTTTTCAATATTGCATAAAGCCAGCTATGTGCATAAAGTTGGTATCATCTCAGGAACTGTCATCCCTATCTGCATTGCCAGTCCCATGCCCCAACTAAACCACCTGAAAGAAGCATAACTTGCAAAACCTGTTGTTGACAGCTCTCAGGAAAACTACTCCTTACAAATGGAAGCTTTCAGTGCAATGCAAAGACTTTAAAATGATACTGTTATCCAAACAGATGTTCTCAATTCTGCTTAAAGTAGCCTCAGCTCAATTCCCTTTAACAGAGCATTCTTTTTCTCTACTCATGTCTCAGAAAGCTGTGTGTGGACAGGGCAGTTTCCACGATGTAAGAAAGACAACATAAGCAAAGCAAAAGCACACAGCACTTCACCACTGTGTTAAACTGATCAAAGGGAGGTGCATACCAAGGGAAGGCATTGTTTGATGCAGTTTTGGGTGGTACTTCACTTCCTTTCTACCTTTACATCCAGAACATGAAAAAGAAGCAAGCTACACTCTTGAGTCCCTGTGTCTTCATAACAGGCCTCAGCCAAATCTGGGGCCCTCTTCCCTCTCCTCATCACACAGCTGCCTGACCTGGGATCTCTCCATCCTCTCTAATGGAGAAAAGACAGCCGTTCCCTTGTGCGGGGCAAGGCTCCCTCTCTTCTGAAAACCGTGGTGGAGGGGATGGCCACTGAGCGTCATCACAAGCCCTCGGCCTGCTCTCCCCTGCGGGCTGAGGGCCCGGCTCCTCACCAGCACCTCCCTCCCTCCCCGCCGCCCCGCGGTACAGAGGTGCAGGCCTGTGTCCCTCTCCGCCCTGCCCCATACCTGGTAGGGCCGCTGGAAGCCCCCGGGCGAGCGCTTGTGCTGCTGCGGGTGCAGGGTAGTTCCAGCCGGGGATTTGGTGCCGTAGGGAGCCGGGTACCGGGGACTGATGCTGTGCGGCCGGCGCGGGGTATGCCCCCCGTGCGAGGGACTCCCGAACCGCCCGCCGCCAACGCCGCCATGGAAGCCGTGTCCTCGGGGCGAGTGGCCGCTGCCGTAAGGCCCACCAGGCCACGGCATGTAGGGCGGCGTGTGGTGTGGGCTCCCGTAGCCCCGCGGGGAGGGCGGCATAGGGCCTCCGCCGGACGGAGGGCTCCGGAAGCCGTGGCCCGCGTACGGAGGCGTCGGGGGGCGGAAACTCTGCCTGTACATGACCCTGGCGGCGCGGCGATGGCGGAGTGGAATTAACCTGCGCGGCGGCGGAGCCTCAGCGGGGCGGTGTCGCTGCTCGTGGTTTTTCTCTTCCCCCCCTTTCCCCGCCAGGCGGCTGATAAGTTCCGACCTCGAAACGTTCCGGGCCGCGGAAGGCCAGGCCTTGGACACCCGGCTGGCAGGGCCCGGGATGGGAAAGGAGCGGAAGAAGGGGAAGAGGAAGGAGCCGGGGCCGGCTCGGTCCCTGCCGGGAACGGAGTTGCCGCGGGCCTGCCCTGGGGCCGGCGCCAGCGTTCTCTCCCGGTGCCTGAGAGCAGGTCCCATGCGTCCTGCTTAGCGCCGGGAGGGTGGAGGGCCGGCTCAGCAGCGATTTGTAACGCATCTTCGAGCTGGAGAGGAATAACCTAAAGTAAAAAGATCCTTAGCAGAGATGCACAGCAGCTGTGCCTGTTAACTGACGTTGTAAAGCATAAGTGATAAACCACCGTATTTGTGAACGTGCATAGTTGTAAAGTGAACGCCCGCGGTACTACAGCTGGTAAAAATCAGCCCCAAATAAGCAAAGCATTTGCCTCCCGTTTCGTGGCACCTCAGATGTGCTTATCTGGACTCCTTTCTTATGTAGTCTTTTAATAATGAGCCTCCAGATACTTAAATTATAACTGTCCCAATGGAAAATGTGTGCAATGAGATATTTAGTACTTTATTAGAAAACTTGCCCTTTTTAAACTCAGCTTGAATCATCAGCAATTTTTCAGACGAGCTGGTAGCTGAGGCTGAGAGCTACACATACAACTTTGTATGAAAGCGCTCTCTCAGATGAGCTCATATTTAGCAACATAAGCTCAGTTTAATGATGTTCTTTATGAACATTTCTGCTCTGTTCTTAGCAAAGTTAATGCAAATCCTCAACAGCTCGGTAAAAAAATAATGCATATTTTTCTTTTTAATTTCCATCAGTGCAACAAAGCTCCACTTGGTTTTAGGACATTGCAAGGCATGGAGATTAAAAAGGGCTTTCAGAAGAGCAACAAACAAAAGCTAGCCAATAAAATAAGCAGACTGTTTCTTTGTACAACAATCTTGCTTTTCTTTGTCTTTAAACAGCTGTTGTTTGGGTGTTCAGAGTGTTTTGGTTGCTTGCTTTGGGTTTTTTCCCCCCAATGGCGATAACTACCTTGACATGCTCAGTGAACTCAGCTCCCCACCACATTTTCCAGTGTGCCTGTGAAAAATGGGGCTATAGCCTCACAATTCTAAACTGGAGATGTTGTGGGTTAAGCCCAGCTGGTAACTCGGAACCACTCAGCTGCTTGCTCACTCCTCTGCTTGTTCCTCCCCCTGCTCCCGGAGGGATGGGGAGGAGAATCGAAAGAATGCACCTCCCACGGGTTAAGATCAGAACAGTCCAGTAACTAAGGTATAACACAAACCACTGCTGCTGCCACCAATAATAATAATGATAAGGGAAATAACAAGGGAAGAGAATACAATTGCTCACCATCTGCCGACCGATAGGCAGCCCAACGCGAGCAGCGATGTGGGCCTTCCGGGTAACTGCCCTCAGTTTATATAGTGGGCATGACGTGCTGTGGTATGGAATAACCTCTTTGGTCAGTTTGGGTCAGGTGTCCTGTCTCTGCTTCCTCCTGTCTTCCCCTCCTCCCTGGCAGAGCTTGAGACTCACAAAGTCCTTGGTCAGAGTAAACATTACTGAGCAACAACTAAAAACATCGCTGTTATCATTGCTGTTCCCAGGCTAAAGTTGAAAACAGAGCACTGCACTAGCTACTAAGGAGAAAAATGACTGCTACTGCTGAATCCAGGACAGGAGGCTAAAGTTCCTCACGTTTTTTCTTTTGCTTATCCTTTACTGTGTTATCTTCTCTAGAAGACCAATTTTCTGTCTACTGTTACTATGATGCACACAAGGAATGCCAAGCCTACACAGGACACTTAATCGATCTTATCAGCCTTGCTCCAGAGAAGAACAGGTTAATTTAGTTTAAAGCCTTTTCACACCAAGCAGATCAGAAATACATACTGTTACAGACACATTGAGTTATGCTGGAGTAAATTCACTGATGAATTTCTTCTTGTTGACAAACCCTAACTGCCTCTGGGGTTTCAAGCGTTTGTGTTACACTTCTCATTGCACATCACTTCTCTGACTTAAACCATGACATCAACAAACCTGACGTGTACAAGATTTTCTCTACTTTCCTCTTCTGCATTCAGGCCATCTGACACGCAACACTCTGTACACTGAGCTAGAAGCACATGTTTCCACCCATCAAACAGCAGTTTGCCCAGGAACTAGATATTGCAGCAAAATAATCTTTAAGTCTCCTTTGTATAAATACGAAGGGTTTAGTGCAGCCACCTGTATCCTGCATGCTAAGAAAACAGACAGCCAAGAAAGCCAAGAGCATCCTGGCCTGTATCAGCACCAGTGTGTCAGCAGAGCCAGGGCAGTGATCATTGCCCTGTGCTGGGCACTGGGCACCTTGAATCCTGTGTTCAGTTGTGGGCCCCTCACTACAACAGAGACATTGAGGTGCTGGAGTGGGGACAGAGAAGGGCAGTGGAGCTGGTGCAGGGCCTGGAGCACAAGTGTGATGGGGAACAGCTGAGGGACCCTGTGGGGTTTAGTCTGGAGAAGGCTCATGGGGGACCTTATCGCTCTCTCCAACTGCCTGACAGGAGGATGGAGCCAGGAGGGGGCTGGTCTCTGCTCCCAAGGAACAAGGGATGGGACAAGAGGAAACGGACTCAAGCTGCGCCAGGGGACGTTTTAGATAGAGGTGAGGAACAATTCCTTCCCCGAAGGGTGCTCAGGCATTGGAACAGGCTGCCCAGGGCAGTGGCAGAGTCACTGTCCCTGGAAGTGTTCACACGCCGTGTAGATGAGGCCCTCAGTGCCATGGGTTAGTGGTGGCCTTGGCAGTGCTGGGGAACGGTTGGACTTGGCGATCTTAAAGGTGTTCTCCATCCTAGTCGATTCATTGTAGGCAAGCGAGAAGCTGCGCACCCTTCCACGGGTACTGCCTCACAGCTGAGCAGTGCCGGACCCTCAGCTCAGGGCGGGAAAACCGGGAGGCGGAGCCTGCGGGAGGCCCCACCCCGCGCCTGCGCACCGCCCCGCCCCGAGACCGATTTAACGCTGTCGCCGTTTGTGGCGGGGTTAGGGGGTGGCGGCTGGCGGCGCTTGCGCGGTGCGGGGCCGTGCGCATCTTTTCGCGGCGCTCTGGGAGGCGTGCGGCGATGCTGCGCGGCGGGCTGCGAAGGACGCGTTGGTGTGGCGGGCTGTGGAGGAGGCTGCGCGTCGCGGGTGCCGGCGGCACTACCGCACCGCGCTGCCTCAGAGCTCTGAGCGCTGCCTTCGCTAGCAACGGCGGCGGGGCGCGGAGCGGAGGCGCTCCCCCGGCAGGTAGCGGTGCCGCGCCCTCCTCCTCAGTCTCCATTCCGTGCCTTTGCCCGTTGCGTTCCGCTGGGGCTCTGAGGCGGTGCTGCGAGGGTCGGAGCCGTTTTGCTGGTGGGGGGGCGGCGGCGGGACGTGAAGCACCTGAGGGAGGGTCGGTCTGGCTGCAGCCCCTCGCACCGCGGGCCGTCCGTGGGGTCTTGTGAAGGGGTGTCGGCGCTGGGGCGAGGAGCGGGTGGTGGGCAGGGTCCTTCGTTTGTATAGCTCCCTGCTGGGCTGCGGGGTTGAGGTGAGCGCAGCCGTCGTTGGACTTTGCGCTGCGCTGGGTCGTGTGGGGCAAGGAGTGAAATGGGTAACGGGGGAAGCTGGGGGGATGCCTGCTGTCCGGTGCTAGGCCTGGTGTTTCAAAGGTTACAACTCTCTTGACTTCATGCAGTTCTGTGTTTGTTTGAATGATGAAAAATAAAACCGAGCTGCGACCAAGTCATTTTCTCTGGCTTTCAGCTTTCTTGTTACTTAACAACATAGGAAAATTGCATTGATGAAGAATTGCAATTAATGAAATTACATTGGTTTCATTAGAATCAGAAGAGGTTTAGAGTTACCCTTCTTAAGATGCGCATACCAAGTGCATCCCTAATTGAGGTGTACCTATTGATAGCGAGTTGATCCATAGCAGTGATGGGCTTGGATCCTAACTTGGTGCATGTATGAACTAAAAAAATACCGGTTGTGCAATCAAAGTAGAGACAATAGACTTAAGGATGAGATGTCCTCTGGAACTGGGTGTAATTGGAATGGAATCTATTCACTGTTAATTTGCAATTGTGCAAAAATCATAGAATGGTTTGGTTGGAAGGGACTTTCAAGGTCATCTAGTTCCCATCTGCTACCATATGCAGGATACTTTCAGCTCTCTTCAGTGCCCTCTTCTATCACTTTTAAGTATGAGGTTGTGGTGCTTTTTGTTTTTTTTTGGGAATAGAACATTAAAATTAACTTATGTTTTACAGAATGATCTCTCTGTTGATCATTTACTGGCATTATGTTAGACCAACCTTGGAGCAACCTGCTGAGCTTAACTGAAGTTTAAACTGTATTGGGAGTGAAGTGGATCTATTTATTCTTCATTAAAGTTGTAAATAAAAAATTTGTATGACTGTAGTTTGCAGTAAGTTCAAGCATCATGGGAATAAAGAGTGTACAAATAAAGTATAGTTAGAACTGGGAAAATGGGATTTTTTCTTTGAATCATTAAGATATTGGAGTAATTAAAATAAAACATAAGAAAGTATGAGTTCACATTTTAGAGAATTTAGGCTATTGAGCCAGAATTCCAACAGAAAACAGGCAGCAGGAAAAGTTTAACTTAAGGTATGTGGTGACGGGAACAATGCAGAGATGCTTCTGGCCAAGAAGTCCTCAATTCTGCTCTCTTTTCTTTGCTTCTTTTTGTTATGTATGGGGTTGGTAGCACTCTGGTACTTGGGATCAGTGTACTGGAACTGCTGTTTCTCTCGTGGTCAACAAGCCTTTAATTGTTGTTTCAGCCAGTTAGTGTCTTGCTGGAACGCAAATCTAGGTCCGAAATATTTTCTTTTCTGGGTATTTGCTCTTTTAATTTGAAGAGGCTAACAGTACTCAAGACTTTTCCCTCAGATTTTCAGATGCAAGCTTTTGATCTCTCCTGTTCCTCGCATTTCTTCATCATTGTGCATGTGGGTGTTATTTGTTGACATTAAGCAA